TAGATAGAATAGGTTTTCCTTTGGTGTGCTATTGAGAAAATAAACTACATCGGCAGAGTTAATTGCTCTTCCGGGTAAGAAATTCGGCATAAATTTTCATAATTAGATTAGATGTGAGCTTGTTTACACGAGCGTGGAGAGTATTCATTTGCAATATGAGCTCTTCGATTCCATGCCATATATTCTGAGAAATTTTCGCATTTACCTGCGAATTGAGGATTTAATGCAAATCCAATATCATCAATCGTAGAAATGGTGGGGAGGGGTGGTGGGGGGGGGGGGGGGGGGGGGGGGGGNGGGGGGGGGGGGGGGGGGGGGGGGGGGGGGGGGGGGAGGGGAGAGAGAAGTAATGACAATTTGTGCGCAAATTTTAACTCTTCAAAAGTATGCAATACTCCTTGTCAGATGGAATTGGGGGGGGGGGTAATGACATTTACCCGCAAGAAAACAAATTATGAATGAATAAAATTTCCCATCATTCGCGACGAGACACTACACCGAGATGGTTGAATCTGAGAGGATTAGAAAATAAGGTCATATCGTCAGTGTTTCTTGCAATTGATTCCTTAATAATTGCTTATTGAATGCAATCAAATACTTCATTTTCAAATATAACGAATTGTAATATTGTGTACTCTCAGTATTGTGGTGACATTGTCTTCGAGGATTGTAGAGCACACGATCAAAAACAAACAACTTCGATTGTTGTTCAGGGAGCATGGCCCAAAACAAAAGTAAACCGACCCGTCTATAGAACAATTGATATGGTGGACGAAAACTCAACATGGATTCAGTAATGAACCAATGTAGACTACACAATTTGTTACCCCATGAATTGAATTCTTTCAAATTGAAATATATACATATATATTGTACAAATCAATTCTTGGAAGTTCAACTGGAGCTGGATTGTTAATATGTTGACATCCTTACTGTTATGTCCTGGTTCAAGTTTAATTGACCTATTTACTATTCTTAAACTTTATTATTTTTTGTTCAGATGGAAACTTTTTTGCCACTGGCAAAATCATCACAGATAATGCCGGTGTCCTGATTCATACCTGGCCCCAAAGCGACTATATAATTTAAATTTTAATTAACTGTGATAAAAATGTCGATGTTTATATTTGGAAGCAATCGATCTCAAATGACAGTAGGCAAAAATAAATGTTAACTGGAAAGGGGTTCAAAATGCAACCCAGAAGAATGGAAAAGTATTGAAGTGTCTTGTTTAGCTTATTTGTGGAACTCAAAATGAGAAGTTAACGTTAAAAATTTCCAAAGTTCTCAATGTGTCTCTCGAATTTTGCGGCAACTGACATTCTACTATGTTTAGGCATGAATACTATACCCAACTATCAAATAAAAATAAATTAAAGCCCTCATTATTTGTTGTGTATATCGAACCAATACAACTAAACCCTTGTTTTAATAAGACGAAAGATTCTGAACGCAACCAATAGAAAGATAGTTCATGTACTTATACGATGCAAGTAGTTTAAGAATTATCTGAGCTTTGCTTTGAATCAAGACGTGGAGGCCTCTTTGGCTTCTTGCATTACCGTCTGGAAGCAGAGTTAGAATTGTGGTGGCTTTCGAAGTCAGTGCAAATCGTACTTTCCCCACTGATGCAAATTTTCACCTGTGAGTGGATCTTAAAAGGAGCTCAAGGCGAGCTAAATGGATCGATTTTTCTGGGTTTAGATCAATTGAGGCACGCAGTCATTCTCATTCTCATAAGGGTTTTATTTAATTTTGTAGTGCTCCAATGATTTGAATTTTTTTTCACTTCCAGAAAATTGGAGCCATGATGTTTCAGGCTATGGTAGAAATTCCCTTAATTGATCAATCAGTTGCACCTCCTTGATTTGGCACTATCTTTTGGTAAGTTATAGAGTGCTTAGGCAACATAAAGTTATTTCTGCAAATCTGACAAAAATAAACTTCAATTTGTAAAATTTTATATCAGTTTATTGACAACTTTTACAAGTTTCGCTCCTCTAGGCTGGTGAAAAGAGAACAATATGTAATTTTTTTATTTTCTAAAAAATACAGGGATAATTAATTGATTACAAGACTACCGCATCCTAATCACGACGAAACTGTGAATTTGGATGATTAATGGAACAATTAATGCCGCCTGGTTTCCAGTCAAAATAAAATGCTGACTGGGATGAATAGACTAACAACGAGCTACTTATCCTTACTGCCTAAATTGTTCCCACTCATTAAATTAACGGCTTAAATGCGAATACTCATAGGTATCTCATTTAAGAGCAGATGTTGTAACGATGAGGGACCGCTTTATAAGTTACCTCACTAAAAATTTACAGTTATGCCTCCACTTGGTGCACCCTGGGCAACGTATACTCAAACGATAAAAAGTCAATAAACTGGCAGTTGATTTCTCACTTTAAACTACCAGCACACCACTGTATGTCATATTCTACCACTTCCACAGTACTCAGCTTACCTTTTTCTCTACCTTGTATCTGTCTCTTTTACATCTGTGATTCACTCTTCTGTCACCCCCCCCCCCTCCCATCAACTTTATGTCTATGATGCTTCGCCCCTCTATGGAATCCAAATTCAACTAAATGGCTATTTAGAACTATTATATATAAATATATATAAATATCTACTGGTTTTAATCCCAAGTGAAGGGGGATTCTATTTGCCTGTTGTTCCTAATTAGATTCGCTCTGTTGACCTTCAAACTCCTGACCCCCTGACTTGAATGGCACATAGTCATTTGTCTGCGAAAACACAGTTCAAAAACTTTGATATTAAATCAATAGATTTTTTCTTTTAAGTTATAAACAAAAGCTCCATTTGGACTGCAACTAAGCCTGAAATTATTCTCCAACTTTTACTCCACAAGATGTAAAGAAAAATTGAAATTACAAATGAACTATTCAACCAAAATAAATTAAATCTTTCGACAGATATAAACAGAAAAATAAAAGATTGCACAAAGGTTGAGAGGTTAAATGAAGTATGACTATGCATAAGTTGGCATTGAATCATAACTAACAAAAGTAATGTGGGAGTTGAGTGGAATGGCTCAATTTGATTGGTCAACCATCAGGTTCTGGGTATCCTAAAATTTGAACTCTGAAAAATCAAAGATACCACCATGCAATTTACTGGGTGACAAAAAATTCGAATGAAACAGTTTATTAGGCCGTATTTTGTTTTCCATATTGGCAAAATCACTCATACTATTAAAATCAACCTCCTTTTACCGTTACGTCAGACTCTTGTAATTAATGCAAGTTAGTAATAAAGCACTGATATCGTTGATTTAATCCAATCCTACCAATCGATGAAGATCATCATTCTGGGCTACATTCTGTCGCTATGCATTCATTGACTTTCAATTTTTTATGGCAGTTTCCCCATGATGACCCCTGGGGGCTGACAGTTCAAAAATTTGAAATTCGTTGGCAGTGATAAAGTCATAAAATTTTCAGAGGCCATATTTCCGTCAATCGATAAGTCACCCCAAGAAGGAAGAAATAAAAGAGAAGAGAGAGAGAGAGGGTGTAAACTGCGGAAACATTCCTTTTGCTAAAAAAAGTGTGCCTTAATCGGTTCAAATTGGGCTCAGTCATCTTGCAGGCATTGCAAATACCTATCGCCAATTCTCCAAGAAGGCCGTTAAAAAAAGAGCAATTTAAAATAAAAATTAAATTAATGAAAGTGATGGTGTTATCTTAAATACTAGTTTTTTTAAATAATGAAATGCATAACAGGCTTTTAATCAATGAGCTTTAGATTAGCTAAATTATTATTATTAAATTAATTTCGCTTGAAGGTTACCCTACAATGTAGTTAAAATAGTTGAATTTTATTTTAACTAAAACAAAAAAAACGACGTAGACATCAGCTGATGATTGGAAATTTTGTTATTACAGTTAGCGATCTCCAGAGTTATTGAAATGTATCGTTCGCTATTCGATCATATGGTGCTAAGCTACGCGTTACTCGGTGAGTACACATTAAGGAGCGAGTTGATTTATGCCGCTCAGTCGCCGTAGACTTTGGATAATTTATTTTAAAACCAAATTTACCCGCATTTAATTTAATAAGTGACTTGATGAATGTTAATTAAAAACTGGTTCATGATTTGTGGAAGATCTGCCAATCATTAAGAGGTTAAACGAGAGGAGAGGTGGTGGAAACGCTTGACAAAGTGTTTATTCACACAGAATCATTAGATTTAGATTCGTTCAACATTGATTTTATTAGCTATTTTGTACATTTAAATGTATTTAAATAGTGAAGTTAGTTGATGTTTCGGTATGAGGAATTCAAGCCTAAACATCATATAAAAATGAGTGGAAAACAGTCTAACATAGACAAGCACTTTTGAAGTTGTTTCTATTTGTAAGGAAAATCAGTTGGGTATTTGTTTTAAATTTATACTTTAAATAACAAATGCTTAGATATGTAACACATCGAACCCCAATTTCGTTCAGATGTGTTTTTTATACTCATTTAGTTCAGGTCAGCCAAACTTGTTTTACTTAATTCAAACAAAAAAGGTTGAAAAATAAAAAAAATAAACACATGAGTGGAAGTGATTGAGAATCAAATATAGTTTATTTGATTGTAAATGCCGGATAAACTGGTATTTGTGAATCAGTGAGTTTATACACCATCGGACATAATATGGATCGGGTGGGTATTGGGTTGTGGGGGGGGGGGGGGGGGGGAGGGNGGGGGGGGGGGGGTGGGGTGAGGGATACGAGAGCTATACATCTTAAGTGTTGCATGAAGGCGTTTTCTTGGTGTTTATTTATGTCATCAAAGTGAGTTGAAAGAAGACTGTGAGTGGAGTGGAGTGGGGTGGGTGGTGGTGGTGAGGGGGGGGGTCTTTGGGAGGAAGGAAAAATAATGATTGTCGACTGTACTCTTTACAAAAATAAAGATTGGGATGAGAATTAGTGATAATTATGTGTAGAATGTCGGAAGAATGGTTGTTCATGTGGAGTTTGCTAGTCCTTGGCACAATACTGCTCTAAAAATCGTCGAGTACATCCACGACAACAGCACTCCGTAATGATTGTATAGGGCTCGTAGCGCAAGTAGAGCGCGCAGAATTCGTCGTGCTTCCTTCGTCGCACTTTTCCTGGTCTATACAATTGCGTGGCTCTATCTGAAATAAGACCATTCAAGGACATTACTGGGGGTGGGAGGGGGAGGGAGCAGACCCAAGGAATAAAATCACCCTAAAGAGATTTGAATTGAAATTTTATCAGGACATAAAATCCTCTATTTGAAAACACATTTAGGTCAATGACACTTACGTAATCTAAGGCCGCGTCTGACACGACCAGATTCGCCATATGGAGAATAAGTTCCACGATCTCCACACTGTTGTTTTAGGTTCACAATGAGCTGATAACCGCACATTATCCTGCGGGGATCAGAGATGTTTGCGCGTTTTTGAGCCTCTTGACTTAGTGATATGTTAGTGCTTCTGTAATCTTCAGTTTCTACTTCAATGGAACTGGCCATGGGGGTGATGAAAAGGAGAGTAAATAAGAGAGGAAGGAGGAGGTGGAGGTGGAGCGAGAAGCAACGATTAGGGGAAATCCTCAAATTGACGCAGGGAAGCGGTGCTGTGTCAACTAAGCGGTTGACACGAGACATTGTTGTCAAAGGTGAAGGAGGAGGAGGAGGAGCGAAATGGTTGACTTTAACCCCCTTACTTTTTGTATATAGGCGGTTTTATAGTGGTGATGGATTAGACCTCCAGCCAATCAACTTTGCCCAAGATGGAAAGTGCGTGTATATCACTGCGCGCTTACGTGCGAAGTGTTACCGAGTGCGTTCTTTTCTTGTTTGACCCCGATTTTTCAACCACGGTCACAGTATTGCCTCCAAATATCTCTGACCTCTGTTTCGTGAAAAATAAAAATATAAATAAACCACATTTCCGAAATATAAAATAGAATTGAACTCCAAATGATTTCTTAATACATTGATCTTATTATAATTATATATTGCGTGTGATGTGGGAGGAGGGAATTAAAATTTGAAATCATCATAAAACTTTCAAACTAAAACTATATTTATTGAATATTTTGTCAAAAATTGTTTTGAATTGCAGATTATTATATAACACTTCTTACGGCTATTTTTAGAGTGAAACACTTTAAGGTTTTCAAGCATATTGCGTAAAAAAATTTCTAGGACAGTAAGAAAGAAAAACCCTTTTTTTAAAAATAAAATGACGATTTCATGAAATAAGTCATGTCTTAATTAAGTTGTAATTTTCTTAAACCAATTAATTTAAAAACAGTGCACAAATTAAACGGAACAGCAAGACTGAAGAGTGGCGTACAATAAGCTATTTATGTCATTGTTTGTCGAAAGCGACGAGCACTTTAATATTCCCCGAATGCACTGACCGAAAGTTAACACCAAATTTGCACAGATAACGACAAAATGGACTTACAAATAGTGTCTGATTCATTGGCATAAATATTTAAAAGGCATAATAATATAATTTTTTATTTTATTTTCAAGGTGAAATCGTTGTTGTCTGCCGAAATTATAAAATCGATAAAATGTGTTCGCCAAGGCTTCCTAGTTTTACTTTCACTCGAGAGACCACAAAATAAACCCTATTGAAAATTGAACATCTTAATAACAATGAACTCAAATCACTTATCGTTACCCTGACTAAAATTTCTAGACTTAATGCTCGGTTAATGGAAGTTTAAATTTGGTTATGCCAAATAGAAAAACAACTATTGAATTATGTGGAAAGGGCTTTGAAACGTCGATGTGGAAAGTTGAAGTCCACTAGATATTTTAAAGCCTGCATTTATAAAATATGAAATTCGCATTTGACGGATTTTATCTCATCTATTGTTTATGTTATAGAGAGAGAGAAACTTTAAATTTTATAATAATATGAAATGCGATAACTCACAGGCATAAACGAAGAGAAAACGCGACTTGGTGTTTGAGTGAGCTATGATTTCGGAGGCACATACGAATACTCAAATATGTGGGGCCTACCCTTAGGCACACAGGCACAGCTTGAATAATTGATAGGTTCTGAAATCCTTAATGCGATTAACAAACAATCGTATTGCTGAGATGTCGGTGGTAATAAATTCATGAAAGCCAATAGAATTTTAGCGTTGATGCTTGTTCGCAGGAATACTTGACGCTAGCTAGCCTCAATTTTCTCCGCTAATTAAAGGTGTTCTCGGTTTGGCATATTCAAATATCGAGATGTTTAAAAATAAAAATTGACCTTATTTCCAAAAAAAGTAAATGAAGCAATTGATTAATTAAAGGGAAGGAAATATTTTACTGTTAATTCAATTTATTTTAAAAAAAAATAATTCTCCACAGCAGATATCTGGCGCCACATGGTTTCAATCAAATGGAATGTCCGTTAATCATATCACAGCATATCATAAATTATATATATATTAAAATGCCTTGTAAGGATTACTTAAAATTAGATAAAATTGTGTCACTTTGCATTATTTCACGAGGCTGTGGGAATTTTTTCTGTGTTTTGCGCATCTAAGAATAAGTATACACACATTGATTGCTCTAGAAATTCTCAAAAACAAAATGAAAATTGACCAAATATGATTAGAAGTTTTAAATACTCTAAAACGCAAAATTTTTTTATAAGGAATCATTAAAATTACGTTGAGATACACAGACGTTGTGACAAATTTATCAAAATTAGAATCCTCAAAAGGTTAAACACTGTTCCCCTTTCGCGTTGTCCAATTGACTTCATTCATTTAAAAGTTAACATGTTTATTGGAAAATTTAAGCTACTTAACAATTGAAATTGTAAGATGATCATAAATTAAATCTTAAATCTGGCATTTGAAAGGCACAAGGAGGGGGAGGGGATAATTTGTTATCATTTTCACAAAATTTATTTATTTACAGGCATTTTATGACTTGATTTTATCCTCAGGTATGTGTTATGGATATGTATTCGAAAGGGGTAAAAAAATCTGTTAAGTTGATCCAAAGAACTTAGAATTCCACATTTAACTTTACTTCTCAGAAGTAAAAAAACTTAACTTGACAACCACCCACAATTTCTTCTTGGTGTAAAGTACCATCTGCTCTATAGGCATTTCATAAGAACATGCGAAAAACGTCAGTTTCCACATGAATATTTACCTGTAATTAGAGACAAATAATTATGTCATTTCAGCAATTGCATGGAATAATTAAGCCCATTGCAACGATGAGTTATCCTTTGTTTCTTGGAGAAAAAAATTCATGTTTCTTCCCTGTCGAGTAATGGACAATTTCTGTCTCCCTGTCGCCCCCACACGCCCACGTTCGAATTAATAATGAAATGTTCAAAACGGGAGTGAAGGCGAAAAAGGAGGCATGTGTCGGCTTAGTCAAGTAACCGGTTATTGAGTTACGCACGATCTCGGTCTCGATCTCTCGCCCTCCCTCCAGTAGTTTTGTCAATCCTGTGCCAACCGATAATTTATTCTCATAATTCTGAGAGCAAGAGATAGAAGAGGCGAGAGGAATTCGTTCCTTGTTCTTTTTTTCTCTCCAATAGAAGGTCAATCATTTATGAATGTGAAATTATCAGTGAGTCGTTGGCACGTAAGTTATTCGGAGTTGTAGCTTCAAGTCACTTAAGCACTTGGAGCATTTAAATTCTACCTCTTTTTTGTTGCAAACGGTAAAAGGAGTTTCCATTTCTTAAGTGGACTGCGTTTAACTACTGCAATTATGCCGTTTATGGATGTACGCGCTGGACCCGTGATTCCAAGATGTACAGAGAATTAATATCCGCTAAATCACGAGTGGTAATTCGATGTACTCCTGATTTATATAACACAATACCAATTCTCACACAGTCGTATATGGCTTAGAAACGGTCATTCTCCTTCATTTGTCTTCACTTGCGAAGCATTTCACACTTCTTGACAAATAAATATTTTTGAAATATCTAACTAGTCGCAAGAATGCACGGTAATAACAATAATTTTGGTGTAAGATGTGTTAGGCATTGATTACATGAAAGTGTTGTAGCAAAGAATTGAGTTTACCAATAACGAAGGGGTTCATTTAGTGAAATATCACCCTAGAGGCGAAAACGGATCATTCATTGAATTTCAGATTTGAAATCAAGGCCTTTATCCACCTCGAAATGCAACTCTCATCGGAAAAAATTTTGATGTATCCTGGCCTTGAAATAAATTAGTTTATAAGAGTACAAGATATCACTTTTTTGCATTCACGATGCGAACTCAGCTGAATTCCAGGAGAATTCGACCGATTTAAGCGAAGTTAAGGCGAATAAATTTCTGACAGAACTTCGGTCTTTAGTGCTTCTGGGTTATTACTTCTTACAAGTTGGCGGGATTTATTTGCACCACGCCTGTGTACCAGGTCACGAGTTCCGCTCCATTTGCCCAGGCCTGTGAGAGGACTGGTCAATCTGCCTGATAGAGGCGGATCATATCGACGTCTTATACGCACACACACACACACATACCAAGGAAGGTTCACAGTGCGGGGTGTGCGATAGACTTACCTCCACGTGTGCACCCCTGGGCAACGTATACTCATACGGCAAAATGTCTATTAACTAGCAATTGACATCTCACTTCAAACTACCATCACCCACACTCTATGTCAGTCGACCACTTCCGCAGTACCCACTCCACCGTTTTCTATCTTTGTGTCTGTCTCTTCTACATCTTTGAAGCACTCTTCTGTCTCCACCCCCTCTCGACTTTTTTTATTTTGACGTTCCTTCTCCTCTGTGAAGCCTGAAGCCAACTAAAGGGCTAATGATAACCATCAAAACGCCCGCCATTTGTTATAAATAAATAAATAGATTTACTGTGCTGGCATCGGCTCGCGGTGAGATTTGTAAAATAAGCTTGAAAAGTGCTAGTGCCATTTTTAACATAAAACTAGGCCAAATGTGTGTTTATAACATCTCATAAGTGACTTTAACTAATGCGTATTGATTTCCAGTAAAGACCGCTCTATGTTTCTCCTTGAATTAATTTTATTAAGGTCGCGGCAGTAAGTCGGTGGATTTCTATTTTAGATAAGACTTTTATTGGAGTTACATTTTGGCTCCTCTGGTTAGGAATTCAAGTATTTGCAAGGAAGAATAATGACAAACA